AGGCATAGGACCAGACCACATGACTCTGGACTCCATCTTGGGATGTCAGTATTTTTCCACAAACTGGTCTGGGAGCCAAGTTTTGAAACAAAGGGTTCCCGCCATATTCTAAAACTATATAAGGCAAGGACTGACATCATCTGTTGTTTTTCACTCCCCACACAAGACGACGCCTGGAAACACCTGAGGAAAAAAGACTGAACTGGGGAAAGTGCTGGACCAAGACTAAAGGGATTTCTTCATGAAGACCTGTATATGAAGACCTGAGAAACCCAAGCTCTAAGACTAAAGCAGCTTGTGCCTTAAGAATCTACAAGTCTGCCTGTACCATCAGTTAGGGTGAGAATCTGCTAATTCATAGCCAATCTATGTAGTATATTAAGCTTAGTTTGCATTTTTGTTTATTTGCTACATAATCTGCTTTGATCTGTTTGCTATCCCTTATAATCACTTAAAATCTATCTTTTGTAGTGAATACATTTATTTTATGTTTTAATCTAAACCAGTGAGTTTGGAGTGAAGTTGGCGGGGGAGGCGAACTCTATGAGCGTATCTTACGCTGTACCGTTCCCTGTATACCACAAGATGGCATAATTTTGGGTTTATGCTCCAGGGGCGTGTGCGTGCCTGGGGAGCTGAGAGTTACCTGGGCTTTAGCTTTTCTACTGTTGGTTCGTGTAGTGGCTAGTCAGAGAGCCTGCATGTAACTGCAGCTGAGTATGTCCCTACCTGTGTGAATGCTGAAGGAAGTGTAAGGACAGGAACGTGTCTGCAGCTTGTCACAGCAGCACAGTGTGAGAGGGAGCCCAGGCTGGTGGGTCAGAGGGCTCAATGGTACCCTAATTCCAGGTGGCACCCTGGGGGAAACCCATCACACAACATATGGTTTTGTTCTCCCCCTGTGCGTGCACAATTCCCATTAATATCAATGAGAGTTAAGCAGATATAGAGAGAGAACCCTAATCCCCTCAAAATGGAAAAGCTACTGTTAAAAGCACATCAGACTACTCTTTGCCAGTTACATTTATTCATGTGCAACACTCTCACAAACTCATCATGCATGTTAGTCTATCAAAAGTTCCAGCTTTAGGAGGCCAATTGTGATTTTTAGTGTGCTGCCCCAGTGGCCCACTTCTTTCTAATGCTGCCAAGAAGATCCAGCACCCCGAACTAACTGACAATTTTGAAAGGTTGTACACAATACATTAGATTCAAGGCCAGTTGAGCCAGCCTCAATTTTGTAGATTAGTGTGAATAGGTCAACAGCATCAAATTTAGTGCTGTGGTGTTGCAATTTATCTCGTCACTGAGGATGTCGAGCATCTGTACTAGCTCTCTTATTAAAAATACTTAGGAAATTCTTATTGGTAATAAAAGTTGAGGTGCATAGATTTTAGCCATTTTTCTAAACAAAATAATAGTCTCAGAATAACAGTAAATACAGACACAGTGACAGGAGAACTGCCACATAAATGGAAATAGTTAAAAATATCTTAATGTATTTTATATCTTCTTGCAGCAGTGCCCATTGCTCTCAAGCTTCCCCCACAAGATGACCTGTCATATTACCATAGATCAGGCCTAGAGTTTGGAGTATCCTCATGGGGATAAAAAGTATTCCCAATTTTCTACGTAAAGAGCTGTTCTAATCTGAAAAATGACAATGCAGGGTTCCATGTTTATTTTTTCCTCAGTGTTTTCCGGATGAGATCTACTCATTTTCTTCCAGTCTTGCAAATTCAGCCTAGGTTTCTGAGAGAAGTTGGGTTCTTTTCATTATATATTTCATCAGTAATGTCAGGCTCTGCACATAGAGGGCCAAATTCTGATCTCAGTTACACCAGTATAGATCAGGCTTAATTCTATTGACACTTCAGTATATTTAGGGCTTGTCAACTAGAAAGCTTATAAATGTGCTTATTCCAATATAGGTTATTCTAACTTGGGAAGCAAAATAAGGTATACCAACATAAGGGACCTTTGTATCAGTACCTCTGCCTCCACGCTAGGGCTCATACCGGTATAAATATTTTAGTTTAGTTTAAACTGAATGGACAGTTATATCCGTAAAACTTTTCTAGGGTAGACTGGGCCCTGTTCTTAATTTAAACTGATGTAAATGAGATCTGAATTTCCTCACAAATTAGGTTCTTATAGTAACACCTGGGCAGCCCTATCTTCATTCAGGAAGCTTATCAGACGGCAGTGGGTTTGCATAGATATAACTGAGTGGAAGGTAGTAAAATGCTATTTCTGATGCACAGGAAAGAATCCAGCTCACTCCTTTTCAGCTGTGTTGATTTTGCAGTCCTAAATACATAGTTAAAATGTTTTGCCTGTTAAGTCAGCAACTACAATTCTGAATGTGCTGAAGAAACTGTCATTTTATTATAGTAATTTTTCAGAACAGAATCAAACTTTAATAGACACCCTATGTAGGAAATACAACTGAAAAAAAACGGACTCACCAAACAATATGGGAAAACAATGGGGTTAGTTTATTCCCAAAGGCAGACTCCACGCTTCAGCATTTATAATTTCATTAGCACACTACATGCTGAGGTAACTCATGGAAGTAGAAAATCAGGGATCCTACCAAGGGGAGTGCAACTTTTGGGAGATATTCTATAAAGCCAAAACCCACAAATAACGAAAAAAATAAAAAGGTATGAGATTACAAAATTGATTAAATACTGTAAGTTCTTTTAAATCTAGTGAGTTTTAGTGGTTCTACAAATAAGGGAGCAATAATACTGGCTAGAGCAAAGAATGTTACTATGCAAGGTTACAATTCAGTTCTGCTAATACAACTCAGCCCTGACCTGCAGTAACCCTACTATTCCAGCCCTGTGCTGCTCTAGATTACGACTGCCAATCATGTGGAATAGTGTTAAATTGTGGTGTGGGTTTATGAGGTGGACAAATATCCTAAGGGACAAGGCTGAGACCACCAAATCTCATTTTCACTGGTGACCTAGGCCAGAAGGGAACCCAGGTGAAAGGCTATTGTATTAACTCATTGAACTTCCAAGCCCTGTGTTCTGATCATTTATGATAATCAGGAACAATAAATTACCTTTCCCAAAGCACTATTATGAGTAGCGCTGTGCCTTGGCTAACACCTACCACTTTTATAAGTATGTGTGATTGCATTAGCTCATCATACACAGAGAGAGAAACAGGATAATTTGAAGATATGAAAACACCAAAACTTTCATGCAAACATTGGCCAAAATTAAATAAGTCCCTGCACAGCATCAAATACACTGGCATTTAAAGTGGAGTCATTGTGCTCTTTAGTTGAATCACAATATGGAGGTGCTGGAAATCAGGTTTAACATGGCTGCAAAGAAGTTTGGGAAGGGGTAAGGGAGGGAAAGGGAGCATAGGCCTGGGATGGGGCAAGAGGGAGGGTCACAGGAAAATGCGGCACGGAACCATGTTTCCCAGGATTGGCAGGGTGCCTCTGAGGCAGGCAAGAGGAGGGACACATGGATTTAGGGGAGGACACTGGTGGGAATAGGATGAAGAGGGTGCAGGGAATCCCAGTAGCACAGAGAAGGGGAATAGGGAGAGGGGACATGAAAAAGGCATGCAGGGAACCAGGAAAGGTTCTGGGACAAGGCTGTAGGTATGTTCCTGGGGATGGGTGTGTGGGGGGGAGGCTGTTTTACTGCTTTGATTTATTAGCTGGCTGGCTGAGCTAATCGTTATTTGTATAATTATGGCAGGGTGGGCATTATTTTTAATTATAAATCTAATTTATTAGGATGTTGGGGGCTTTTAATAGGGATACTTTTATTGTTATCTAAATATAAAGAAATATCAACAATGACAGCATAGGCAGTATATGGAGGAAACCAGAGAGACATGGCAAAGAGCTTAGTTTTCGATGTACTTGGCCAATTAAAAGCCTCTCTGCTCCCCACCTATCTCACCCAGGAACAATTCCCACTAGCACACATACTCCTACGGATTTGATAATGTCAGCAGGAAGGGAAACCATATTTGGTGGGCCTCAGAACATATGGCAGAGCAAGGCTCTCTTCTTGCATACCTTCTATGCTACCCAATTTAAACTCTTGGCTCTCATTAAAAGAAAAAAGGAAAAAAATTAAACAAAAAATATAATTAACAGGAATTAAGGTTGTAAGTGTGTTTCAATGGAGTGCAGCTAACGACAACCCTTTCACTCAACCAAAAATTCATATAAAGTGATACCCTGTCTTTGTTAATTTCACCACTCTTAGGGGAATATCCCTCTGTATCCCTCTTTAAAAAAAATGCAGTGACTGTCTCTTTTCCACCTGATTTCTTTGTTCCTGTGTTTTAAATTTAATCAGAATACTTTCAGTACCAATACCCATGTTTGTTTCTCCAACAGAATCGGAAATAAAAATAAAGCTGAAAGTACATAACTATAATGCAATCTGAAGTGGTATATTCTGATACATTACTTTTTGAGAAGTCTAACATATTCATGCTATTTTTTTACGTTAGAAACACACATACACACGATGTCAAGCAATGGAAATCAAACTTAATAAACCAAGCAACTTGATCCAAATGCTACATAATAAATTAGTTTAAAGCCACTAGGAAAAAAGCCAACATCCCCATATCTCTTAAAAGTATTTCAATGTACCAAAAAATAAAGATGGAAAAATCAGTCACCATTATGTTAAATATTTATTGCTAAAACAATTAATATTTTCCCTAGGTGTTTCAGACTGTATTTTTAAAACAATCTTACCAGCTATGCTAGAAAGCAAAACATAGCTTAGAGTGCCCTCTATCTTTTCCTAGAAGCGTTTCAGGGAAATACTCTTACATTGTAGATGTCAGCTATGAGTTCTGTTTTTAAAAATACAAATAAAATAGTTTCCTTGCATGTGCAGAATTATTGTTACGATTTAAAATGCATATTAAAGCATTGTTTAAAATAGTCCTATATACTGTTTAAGGAAATGATTTTACATAACAGAAAAGTATATACTTACAGTGCCATTTCAAACTGCTCAAGCCACTTTTTCTTCAAATCTTTAGTTTTGCAATAAAATTCCAACCCATTTTGTCCTTGTATGTGGATGAGGTAGAAGCCATAAGACCACTGTGTGAAAGGTATTGCAATTCACTGGTTAACAATTTAATATTCAGGCAGAAAGAAGACAATATTTTTATATTCATCGTATAACACCAACCCTGAGTTCGGAAAAATGGGGTCATACTATTTTGCACCTCTGTTCAGTTTAATAATGGCTCATTCATATCCCTTCATTACATCAGAAATTAACATAGTTGAAGCCCTTTAATAGTCATCTACTTTAAACCACAATGTCCAGTGTGTTTTTGATACTATATGGCTTTAAAATTTAAAAAAATATATATATACAAATTGCTGAAGTGTGGTTGCAGAATATTTCATACACTCAAGACCTACGGATTTCAAATATTTAATAGTGGCATATATTTTGTATATAGTAGTATTATAAACATTTACCTTTTTATTTTCTTTATCAGTAGTGGGATTATTTGTGATTTTGTACTTCTGAAGATCTATTATTTCCTTCATTTCATAATTATCACCTCGCCGTTTGCACACAATTACAGCTAAATCAAATAAGAAGATATGCCTATGAAAACATAATATATAAAGGGTTAAAAAAATTGTCTGTATGCCAGTACACTAATCCTTTTAAAATAATACACTATCATATAAAACATTGCCTGGAGCACTTATGATTTTGAATGTTAGCAATTAAACTATTGGGTAACAAAACATGAACCACTTAAAGTACTTCTGCAAGAGGTGCATAGGGATTTAGATGTTAATGTAATGGCTAACTTCTCATGAACCACTTTGAAAATTTACTTCCTTGGCATTAATGTTAATAGGAGCTATGTGTGTATAATGAAAGGAGGATGTATGCACAAGAATTCCTGAACTGACACCAAATTTCACAGGCATATGCCATGCTGTATTTTACAAGCATTTATCTAATACCAATTCTGTCTTTAGCAACCCAAGTACTGGATCTATATTCTCACCTGTCTTGCCTTGCACGTTTGTCTAATGTAGTTATCCTTATTTCACCATCACCTTGTGGTCTTCCATACATTAAGAGAGAATGGTTCTAAAAACAAAAAAGGAAATAAATTCATTATTTAACATATATGCCAGCGAAAGAGTAAAGATAATATCTGACATTCAAGTGTCAGTTGGTCATTATACTACAAAGCCAGATTGTCCAAGAGTCAAAAAGAACTTGGCACTTTTTGGTCCTACTAAGGATGATAAGGCATAAATAAACTCCTTTTATTCACCCACCAAGGGACTTGGGGCACTGTGCAACAAAATTGATTTAGCTGCATGCATCTAAGGAAATGGAGAGGAAGTCACTGTATACAGATATCATTCCAAGCCAGCCAGAAGAACAACACATACACATACCTGAATTTTACCCAGGCTTCTAGTATTATATAAGATGGTAAGGCGCAGTAGATTTCAGTAAAGTAGAACAATGGTGAAAAGCTGGGATAAACAAGGGTGTAAATATAGCCTATCACATACCAAATTCTCTATTGATAACTGAAACTGTTTAATTTCACGGAGGGATTCATTATCTCTCTTCACTTCGTTTACATATTGAGCCAAGTCCTAAAGCATAAAAAAAGAAGGAGGGGGGAATATTTCAGTCAGAAAAATTCCAATACATTATTTTAAGCAACTGTCTTTATCTTCCTTATTTTGCCTAATCTGCACAATAAGGTTTTTAAAACGTTATTTTAAGTGTTCAGAAGTTGCTGATATACCTGCCAAAGTATGCAAGCTTTTAAAAAACTGTCTCTATTAAAGCTGGGCAGAAAATGATATTCTCATCCTGTAAAAATTTTGAGAATTAAAAAAATATTCACATTCTGCACTAAGAGGAAATCTAGACCTTCAGAATTTTTTGGCAAAAGGCTCCCGGAATAGCCAACAGCCCAATGGTTCAGGAAACTACCTAGGATATGGGAGACTCAGGTTCATGGCTGTGCTCCAAAAAATATTTAATTATTTATCCAAAGTGAAAGAGCTCCAATTGGAGAGACTGAGAGCAATCTACCCCAAATCAGCCAGGCACAAAGAAGCACTGCTATCAGCTGGGCTAAAAAAAATTTAATAGCTAAATAAGGAATGTCATCTCCACCTACAGGAACCAGCGTTTAAGTTAAAGGTGGAGTGCTTCTTTCAGTCAGGGATTGGGATACCTCCTTTGGTCTTGATATTTGCACATGATTTCAGAGATCTGATGCCAAGGCCTGTGTAAAAGATGTAACCACGTCGAGGCTCTAATTGCTCCTATATGCAGTAATCATGGCTAGGTTTAGTAGGGTGCCCAAATATCTACAACTTCAAGACCCAGGCATACAATAAGAGGGCAGTAATGTCTGAATAGCAAAACAGAAGGTATATTATAGCATACCAACAGCCAGCTTTCTCAGGTCCCATGAACAATAATGTGCCTGACTGACACTGGGAAATAAATCTCTTGCGCCTATGTGTTGGGATCTGGAAAAAGTTTAGGTATGATCTTAAGCCATGGACTGGTATATCTTCTATATTTGTGCACTGAATGTGCTGGTAAATTTGCCGCTTATCTTTCTCTATTCAACATAAGGTGTTTGTTCTCATTTGTGTGTCCTCAGCAGTATATAATCTGTAATATCTAGGAGCAAAAAATTTTTAGGAAGTCTGTGCTAAATGGAACAATTTTCTAACGTATTAACCAGGAAAAGGATAGAATGGGAAAATATAACGAAAACAATAACTGAACTCAGTGCACAGCGTCAGAAGAAAAGGAAACTAAGAGAGTACAGCTAGTTGCAGAGGGAATTGCAGACTGCCAAGGGATACAGCACCAAACATGTAAGGAGATACTGCTATTTTAAAAAGCACTTGCTTGTGCCATTTGCAGTAGCATGTGGAGTAATGGTCACTAGGAGAGATATTAACGCCTTCTAGCCTAAGGGCAGGTCTACACTACCCGCCTGAATCGGCGGGTAGAAATCGACCTCTCGGGGATCGATTTATCGCGTCCCGTCAGGACGCAACAATCGATCCCCGAATCGACGCTCTTACTCCACCAGCGAAGGTGGGAGTAAGAGCCGTCAACGGGAAGCCGCGGAGGTCGATTTTGCCGCCATCCTCACAGCGGGGTAAGTCGGCTGCGATACGTCGAATTCAGCTACGCTATTCGCGTAGCTGAATTTGCGTATCTTAAATCGACCCCCCCCGTAGTGAAGACGTAGCCTTAGGCAACAAAGACATTACTAGGATACAAGTTGGAAGTTTTACCCATTTTGTAAAAGACTAGTAAAACTGGGAAAGGCAAATTTTTTGGTTAGGAGGCTGAAAACTATGGGACAGAATGTAAGTGTTAGAATATTACAAGTAAATAGAAGCCAGCCATCTCTACTCCATAACATATAAAACCTATTGACTCAATTACTAAAAGCCTGTGGCAATATCCTTGATTTAGCCTCCTTACATGAGTGTTTGTGGCTACTTAACAAATATTTGCTAGCTCTATTGTGAATTGCAGGACCTCCTTCAGCAGAAAATATACTGTGAACTTCACTTCTGCATGCCTGTATATTCTGAAAAAGGCCCCAACCATTTTAACTGGCAGTGAAGATGTAAACATCTACCTGCCATGGCACACTTACCTTCATTGCATCAAGTGCCAGCTTCAGATTTTCCTTCTCATTTGGGTCAGTAGTGTGCTTCACCAGTTCCTATTTGGCAAAATGCAGGGATATTTCTTATAACAACTTTTCACTCAGCCAGCTGCCAATCAGTTTACACATTTATCACTGAAATAAAATGACTACTGTGCACTGGTCACTCTTAAAAACTTGCCAATTTTGCCTTAAATAGATAACAGCCCTAGAATTTATTTATTTTTCTCTATGATTCCCTATACGTATCACAACTAGGGATTACCACAAATAGTTAAATGGCAAGTGTTAAGTGTGAGCACTGTTCGTCCTAAATACTAACAATATTGACAATGAACAGTCAATAAAAGCTAATTCTATTCTGGTAAGAATTAAAATTTACCACTCAGATCCTTACTGTACATATCTGTTACTCCTGGGGAGATTCTGGGTGACTGCGCGCCTATAGAAAACGGTCCTCCCGCAGAATTCCTGTGCTTCTATGCAGAAAACGGCAAGGAAGCAAATGGAAGACGCATGGGGGGGAAGAAGGGGTACAACCATGGGCACAGGTGTTTGGGGGGGATTGCTCCCCACCAAACAGAGGTGAGGCAGGGGGAGGCACACAGGGTTACATGCCACTGCCCCTCCCCCATCTCTGCAAGCACAGAGCTGCCCAGCTGAAGGAGGCTGTGTCTGGGTTCCGCTGACTCTACAGCTGAACACCGCCTCCTGGGTCCTAGTGCCAGTCGTTCCCCTCTTCTGTGTGTTGGCAGCCTGTTTTCTATGCAACAATGAGTGCCAGCGGTGGGGCTGGAAAAGAGGGAGGTGGATAAATGAGGGAAGGGGAAGATGGAGGGAAGAGGCAGTGGGGAAGGAAGGGGGTGAAATAGGTCAGGGGGAGGGGAATGTGGGAGTGAGGGGAGGGGATGGAGAAGAAAACGGGATAGGTGAATCATGGGGGGAAGCAGGAGCCCAACATGCAGCATCGCATCGGCAGCAGCTGGGGCTCCCCCATTAAGCAGGCCCATTGAACCCTCACCCTGACAAGCCCTACCCCACTACACCTGCACCCCTCCGACGAGCCCCCCACACTCAGACCTCCACCCCACTGATTCCCAACCAGCTACACCTGGACTCCCACTCCCACAGCACCAGGTCCCCCCACTGAGCCCACACACCCAGACCCCCGCGCCGAGCCCCATCTCCCCACACCCAGACCCTCCTTGCTGAGTCCCAACCATCTTCACCTGGATCCACTGTAGAGTCCCATTGCCCCTGCACCCAGAACCCCCCAACATGTCCCTGTGCATGCAGATCTCCCACTGAGCCGCCTGCACCCAGATTACCCTGCCCAGAAACCTCTCACCCCACACCAGGTTCCCCCCACACTATGCCCCTCCAAACTTGGATCCTGCTGGGCTGAGCCTGCCCACCCACACCCGGTGCGCCTGGCGCAGAGAGGCAGGGTCCTGGGGTGTTTCTGAGGCAGGCCAAGCCCTTGCACTGTGTCAGGGTCAGGTGCAGCCTCACCGCCAAGGCCCTGTACTGGGGGAGGTGAGGGCTTCAGGGTAATCTCCCACCTCAATGCAGCCATGGCCTGTGCTCCCCACTGCCATGCTGTAGCCACATTTATTTATTGACAAATAAAATTTGCAGAATTTTAAAATATTATGTGTATACCTTTAACAATTTTTGGCACAGAATTTTAAAATTTTTGGCACAAAATTCCCTGAGAGGTAGTCTGTGCTGAAAGCCCAGGCAAACAATATTAGATAGTTTTCATGTTACTAGCAATAACATGAATAGTCACAACTCCAAAATATGACTTTGTTTGCAAAGATGAAGTAGGAATATATGCTAACAAAAGCTTTAGCTAAAATATGTGACTAAGCATAATGAGATAGTCACTACTCTTAAGTACAAGATTAGCTGCATTTATATAATATTTTATAGACTTGAATGTGGATGACATATCTTGACAGTATAAGAATGTTAAGCTATCTGCTATATTTTAAAAGATACATAGACCATCCAGAATCTAGAAAAATTAATGGGTTAGTTAAAAGCAAAAAAGAAAATCCAGAGAGAAATAAGAAGAGGACTATATGTTGTAACCAAAAATAATATATTGCTAAAATACTAGAAAATGGTGGGAATAGATGCTTCTACTTAAAAGTGCAGTTTTTATAGCAATTTTTGTGGATATTTTTCTCCTGAAAATACTGTAATATATTTTGACACCCCGTTACATACCTGATTGTAGTTTTATGATGCCTCACACTTTAAAACACTATGAGTGACATAATCTTTCATATCATTTTTTCATAATATACAATTTGATTATATTGCTTTGGTTCAGGTCTCAAATGTTTTAAGAAAGTGGTTCTGTCATCAGCTTTGGTTTGTTTGTTTGTTTTTCATGATTTTCTGTTGATCAGGATATTGATGACTTGCATTTATATAGATATCTTTCAAGAAATGTAATAAGTTTGAATTACACAAAGCACTGCAGAGTCAAAATTATGCTTCACATAAAGGTAGTAGCTCTTTTTAAAATGACATTTTACAAGCATCAGCAAGGTTGACGATCTAATACAGTAATATATTTCTTTGCTGCTGAACTAATGAGTCTCCTGGAACAGCTATCAAATTAAATTTATAAGACTGTCCACCCTCATTATAGGACTAACTGTGGAAGCCAAGAGCTTTGTGGGTTATAACAAGAAGCATTTCAAAATAAATATGGTTTTATTATAATTTACTATAGCAGGGAAATATCTTAAAGAATGGTATAGTCTCGTTCAGCTTAGTCTTTGGGGGTAGTGGTCTACATTACAAAACCACCACTCTCATAGTTTGCCACCACTAACTTTTAAATAAGCCATTAAATGAAGAGTGATTGTTATTCGCAGATATGCTTCAACTGTGTGGAATGATCACCACAGAGAAGGCTGAACTGCACTGGATTTAACTTTCAGACAGCTAAGTCGCAATTCAAGTCAATAAAAATGTTAATCACTGTCCTTTAATAAAGACACTGAACCCTCATTATAACAATCCTCTGATGATAAACCATCACAGCTTTGCACTTAATCACTTTAAACTTCAAAAATAAAGTACCTGCAGCAGCAGATGATATTTCAGAACTCGTTGCATAGGAACCACTAGAAGATCCCGCAAAGTAAATTTCCCATTATTGGCCCTCTTGGAACATTCCTAGTTTTTAAAAATAAAATAAAAGATTGAACTGTGATTCTTGCAAAATAAAAATAAGATACAAAGTACACTCCTAATTTTTTTAAGTAGACCTATAAGTTTGCCAGATCACCCAGATATTAGGATACTAAACACCACCATAATGAGGAAAAAAACATCTCCATAGTGATAAGCTGAACCAAAACCCCTGAATTTTTGAGGTTTCCAAGATCTGGATCCAGAACCAGATCCTATTCTTCAGGTGTTCAGATGACTATGGTATAAACACTGTAATTAGAGATAAGAAACCACACAGAGTTTTGTTGATTTGAAGCTGTGAGTGTCTATAAGAGCAACAGAGATAGCAGTTGGAATCACTCTGGCTAGTGCCCAGCAGGTAGTTCAAGTGCAACACTGCAGGTAAATAGAAGACTCTTTTTCTTATTAGATGTAGGCATAAATAGCACAACAGGCATGACAACTGTGTGGATTGAAGGTGACTAGTAAACCTAAAAACTAGAAATCCTGTTTATTACAGGTGGGATCATCAAACTCCCACCCTGCACATTCACTTCCCCACCAAAGTTGATGGGCAGTATGCTGTACCCTATAAAGGGCTGTAGCTGATTATCCAAAGAGGAACTGTGCTTCCAAGGTTGTCTGAACATCTGGGGTGGTGCGTCTTACACATGATCGCTTGTGCAGAGATGTGCCTAGGGGCAGAGTTTAGTCTTTAAACGTTATTCTAATTATAACATTAACATATTTTACTCTCAGCTACCTTCACGCTCACCTAAAACACTATGAGAAAAAAGTGTTTCATTGACAAAACCACTTCTTGGGTGAAATCCTGACCCCACTGAAGTCATTAGCAAGACTTCTTCTGACTTCAGTGGGACCAGGATTCAACCTCTTCTGTCTCTACCTGACATGTTAATTTGATCAGTTACTCCAGTTAAAAAGGAAAAGAAAAGAAACTCATAGACCCACATGTCAGAATGGACAGTTTTCTTTTTTGGGGGGATGGCAGATATATATTTGTATATAAAAAAATAAATATCAGTACCTCTAGCTTCAATTTAACATCTTCTTTTGTCTTAGAGATGTTGTCTAAGCAGGATATGGCTGTCTCCACTTGACTGCAGTACTGCCCATAAATAACCATTCTAAACCAAAGCAAGAGAGAAAAAAACAAGCGGGAGTGTGTGTGTGGTTTTTTTTTAAAAAAACAGAAACAGTCTTTGTTCACACTTCACAAACAAATATATGGGTCACATTCTTCCCTTCAATTGGGAGCTGTACCTACATATCCAAACATAATAACTTGGCCCTAAATATGTATTACAAAGCTTCCCCAAGAATATAATCAGGTGCATGTTTGAAAAATACTAAAGATCATAATCAAAATGCTGTAAAATCATTTCAATTCACTTTTCAGAGTAGCAGCCATGTTAGTCTGTATCCGCAAAAAGAACAGGAGTACTTGTGGCACCTTAGAGACTAACAAATTTATTAGAG